GCATTTGTTGACAGGGGTTTCCATCCTGCCCAGCCCTGCAGCCATTCAGTCCCAAAGAAACACACAGAGGTCTACATTAATTATAAAATATTTGGCCTACTAGCTCAGGCTTCTTATTAACTCTTACATCTTAAATTAGCCCATGAATTTTGTCTGTGTTAGCCATGTGGCTTGGTACATTTTCTCAGTGAGGCATTCTCATCTTGCTTCCTTTTGGTCTGGGTGACCATCACAGACTGAGACTTTCATTGTCCCAGAATTCTCCTGTTCTGGTCACCCTGCCTATACTTCTTGCCTGCTACTGGACAATCAGCATTTTATTAAACCAGTACAAGTGTCAAAACCTTTACTGGATATAAGACCATTGTCCCACAGCACACTATTTTCATCCCTTTTTTTCTGGTTTCCCTGCATACTCCATCAACTACTTGCTGGTCTTAGGTATACAGACTATTATGACAGAATATTATCACAACTGAGCAGCTTATGAACAAGATTTGCTTCTCACAGTTCTAAAAACTGACTGAAAAGATCAAGACCTTCCCATATTTAATATCTGGTGGATGTCAATTATTTTTTTAATATATTCTTTGAAAATGTCATACATACATACAATATATTTTGATCTCATCCATCCCTCACTGCACCTCCCCAACTCTTCCAAGATACCTTTACCATGTCACCTTCCCAAATTTATGCGCACCTTCTAAAGAATATTTTAGGATGATATAATTCAGTAAAAAAGATTTAAAAAATCAAATTTTTCAGTGTTTTCAAGTTCCTGTCATATTATTCTTATAGAAATTCAGGGCTGTAGTTGTTTGAAAGTACTTTTACATCTGATAAATTTTATTCTTCAAGCAAAATTTTAGTTATCTAAATGACAGATTGTGAAGATTTTGAAATAATCATAACTTTGAATTTTTAGAATGTCTTCTGTATGTGACCTCACCATGTGGAAGTGGGAGATCTTCTGTAGTCTCTGCTTTAAGGGCATGAACACCATTCATGAAAGAGTTAACACAACACTGCCACCCTGTAGATTAGGGTGTCATGCCCTTTTGAGGAGTTATATACATATGGACAATAGTGCTTAATTTCACACAATTCTAATTTCATCCATTCTACTCTTTTTGATAACTACTCTGACTACATTGATAAGTCCAAGAGCCCTTAACACGAATTGATAGGTGTCCTTTCTTTGTGCCTAAATATGTCTCCATAACTTGATTTTCCTATTATTCATGCATTTATCCAGGCCTTCCATCGACAAACATTATCACCCATAAATAATGAGTTCAGCAATATCATAAGAACAGGGAAGGTAGCAGTAATTAAAAGTACTCAAAAACATGCTATCATAGAGTCTACTTTTTGTTAGAGATTTCACTGAGAAAAGGACACAGTAGAATAAGAACTAAATAAAATATTATTTATATTGCATACCTATTCCTGATAAAAGCAGTAACAGGAACACTATGGAGTGGGGCTTATTCTTTCAGATGAGGGGGGTGTAGCAGAAGGTACTAATGTTTGAACAAAGATATTGAAAGAGTCAGATAATTATCAAGTAGAAAATCATGCTCTGCCTTCTTTTTTTCTGCAATTATGTTACCTCAAAACTATACAAAATTTATTTCTTATTTTAAACATCTTCATCTTTTTCTTATCCTTTGTCTCTTGACAAAAATCTATAAAATTGTTTCAGTTGAGCATGGGTCGATCTTCAGCGTCGATGTCCAGCACCACAAAATAAAACAACAACAACAAAAAGACAAATAATAGCAACAAAGTCTTGACAGACATTTGATAACTTCTAACTTATCATTTATTCATAGAATACTTCTTCAGTGCCAGTGAGTTACTCACAAAATAGTTTTGTTTTATACGCTCTAATGAATTCTGAGTGTGTAGGTTTATTTCTACATAATCTTAAAATCCTCCCTCACTTACTGAGATAAAAATACTTTCTGGGATTGTGTGTGTGTGTGTGTGTGTGTGTGTGTGTGTGTGTGTGTCTGCATGTTGGAGACCTGGAATCAACCTAGAGTATCATTCCTCGGGGGTTGTTCACGTTGTTTTTAGCAACAGGGTTTCTCAAAGACCTGGACTCACAGATTGGGCTAGTCTAGAGAGCAAATGAGTTTAAGGCAGGTTCTCTCTCTGCTTTCCCAGTATTGAAAGTACAGCATGTGCCGCTACACTCCACCTCCTCAGGATTTAAACGATAGTCATAAATCACTACTTATGGCTTTTCATGTGGGTGCTGGAATCTAACAAATGTCTTCATGCTTGCATTTGAAGCATTTTATTAATGACCAACTCCACAGCCTCTATAATTTTTCTGAGACATTGAGTGATTTCTCTTCTAAGTGCATCAAATGTCCCCCACTCAAAATCTTGCAAAATATGTATTTCATTGACTAAGAAAGATTTTTTTCCTCACTTATCATCTTTCCCAGTTCTGCCATACTTATTTTCTGAAAAAAAAAGAAAGAAAAGTTAGTTGAAGAAAACATAAATTGGCTGTACCATTGGGATAGATTTATACTGATAAATGATGTTTTCTGGAAGAGGGTATTCCTATCTATTCACTCTTTAAACTTATTCTCCCTTTCTATTAGTGCCGTTTCCGTAGTAAAGGTTCCAATTATTCTGCATAAAATTATTTCAATATGAACAAGGGTGCATCTATCTCAACAGCAAAACAAGTAATTAGAATGTATAAGGCCTTCGGTTCAAACCAGAATGCATGCATGCACACCCCGAGAGGCGGGTGGGAGAGGTAGAGCAAGGTAAAGCCAAAGATCCAGGGAGAAAGAGGCAGACGCAGGACCTATTTCCAGCAATAAAATTGTAGCTATTTAAAAACGTTTATGAAGAATCTAAACAACCTATAAGAAGATTTTGAAAAATGTCTTTAGGTCCCTTTGTAAGAATTGTAAGCCCATAATAAATTTAGTACTCCAGCAATGCCATTTTAGTTGGAGCTGTACAATGATATTTTGGATGTACCATCCTATTCACAAATAAAAAGCAAGTACTAAGTAGTGATACATGAAGTGTTGTCCAATGGCGGATAATGAGCGTCCCTTCTAACTTACTTCTTTCATAAAACAAAGATCCCTCTGTCTGCCTTTGCCCCGGTCTCCACTTTTTAAACAAATTGTTTTCCTCTTCTGCATGGCCTTATTCTACAGTTATGCGTGTCTTTATTCTTCTCTTCCTTCTCCCATCATTATGTGAACCTGCTAAGGCAAGATCTGATGATTATCTTTACAGGTTGCCTATAAACCCATGGATTATGGATTATATCTGCTCAACTAACATCCAGTTCATAAGTTAATCCATTATCTCCATTGAATTTGATGTAAGGATCTATTTTTATTCAAATGCAAAACAGTGTTAACACTTTGGAAGTAGAAAAATTCTAAGACTTCTCCCGCAGGGCCAGTAATCATCTTGATGACATTCCATTTTGTTTTATGCCTTTTACTAGTGAAATAGCAGGAAAAAAGATACCAAAGAGAACATGACTAAACTAGGCTAAACAAGTCTTCTCATGGCAACTCCCTTTTCACTGCATGAACAATGTCAGGTATCACATCAAGCCAAAGCCACGTGGAACAAACTACATATGCTCAAGCCCCGTACCTTGAAAGCTATCCTGGAAGTTGTTTTCTATTGGTTTGCCTTGTGATTTTAGCAAAGTCAATTAAGTCAGCCTGGCAGTTCTTATTTGAAGCGAGAACTGACTGTGTCTCTTCTTATTCCACAGATTTAAAACAATGAGTAAGACTATTTCTACACAAGCTTTCATTCCATCTCAAAAGAGCCCTTAACATGGCTCATCTTCTACACCTGGTAGATTCTTGTTAAAGAGAGTGGAGTACTCATTCTTGAAAACACAACTAGGAGCTCCCTGGGGAGGTGAGCGATTGGTTCTGCTACAAAATGGATTTGAGGCACAGTCCAAATTATGAGCCACCCAAAGCTGACTTTCAAACCTTTTTTTTTTTTTTTGAGACAGGGTTTCTCTATAACTAGTGCTAGTAAACGAGGCTGGCCTTGAACTCATAGAGATCCACCAGCCTCTGCCTCCAGCCTCTGTGTTGGGATTAAAGGTGTGAGCCACCACTGTCCGGCTGAATTTCATTCTTTCAATGTTTATAGGAACCTTTCATAAATATAAAAGAGGCCCTTTTTCTTTTAATATTACCAGTATGTAAAATAAATTCAGATATCGTATCCTCAGTAAGGTGGAACAATGTCATAGTTTAGTTGCAAAAACTTAAAGATAGAAGGTTATAGTTGGGTTCCAAACTTTGACTTTGCATTCAAAGCCCAAATTAACAACTTGTTGTTTGTCTTTTGTCAATTTACTTAATCTTTGCAATGTTACATCTCTTCTTCAGTAACATGGAAATAACCATAGTAACATGGAAATAACCATAGTAACATGGAAATAACCATAGTAACATGGAAATAACCATAGTAACATGGAAATAACCATAGTAACATGGAAATAACCATAGTAACATGGAAATAACCATAGTAACATGGAAATAACCATAGCAGAGCCTCTGTTGCAGGACTGCTGACAGGAACAAGTTTAGGTAAAGCTCTAGTACAAAGTCCGATGCATGGTAAGCACTAAACAAATCCTTATTGACTATCATCTCTTCTAGATGCTAGGGATTGTATTCTTTTGGCCATTGATTATGATGGCCAAAAGACGTGATGAATGTACAGATCAATCCGTTATGTAAAGAGTATACTGTGTTTGTTTTAACCCCCAAGTAACAAACTCATTTCCAATTTTTCCATATACTATTGGCATCATCAAGGCTAACCCAAGGTAGCTTCCATTACAGTGAGAAGCAGAAATCCTTGTTTTGGTGCGGGGTGGCCATGTTTGCAGTCACGGCTCTTCCTCAACCTGGCGGTGAAGCACACAATCACATTTTCTGTTTGCTCCTGTCCTTGTTCATGCTCACCAGGTACAAAGACAGGAGACTGGCCCAGCACAAGTCGGAAATAGAGTGTTTCACCCCCAAAGGGAGTATGGGGAATGGTGGGAGAGCAACAATGAGCAGGTAAGCAAACTGTGAGTGGCCTGAGGTGGTGTGAAATAAATGTACGTGAGCTAGAGGAAGAGGCGGCTCCCTAGTCTGGGTCCTGGTTCAATTATGCATTCCATTCAGTAAGCCACCACTGGTTTGTTGTATGTGTTTGATCTGTAAAACCTATGCCATCCTCATGTCAACTAATGGGAGCCTCCTGTCCCAGATGCTGCTGTTTCTTAGGGTTGTGCGCTTTGCATGTCTGAAGCCTTAGCTAACAGTCAGTTCTTCCCTGGATTTTAATTTATTGGCCAAAACAGTTCTGGAGTTTGCAAAGTAGAAGATATTGGAGGAAATCCACATTTTAGGAATATCAATTTTTTTTTAATGAAACCAATGCAAAAGATAAGGGCTGGATTTGAGGGAAGGATCGCAACTGAGGGAACACTGAGCCTGGAAATTAATCTGAGTTGCATCGAATGTAATATGTAAGAGCCAAGCGCAAAGGCAATGGCAAACAAGTGGATGATAATGCAAGAGACATTCCTTTAACTGAAATCAGGAAAGTTGATCCTCCTCTGGCTACTACAGCTTTGCAGCTCCTTGACTTCGTTGTGTTGATGGTGAATACTTCCTATCGCTGTGCTGTGCATGTTTCTTTGTACTAGGAGCTGCCAACTGAGTTGTACCCTGTACTTGGACCTAGAGGCAACAACTGAGCTGTGTTGCATGGAATGAACGTGCTTTTCTTGCATGCAACTGCGTTTTAAGAACAAGGGCTCTAGAGACATAGGCAATCAGGATTGTCTTCAACAATTCTAGAATGTGGGGTGGGGAAAAACGTATGCTGTGAAATCACTCACTGTGGCTAACTCTTCTGCTAAATACTTTTTGGGTCATTTCTCAATTCTTCTGTGGCACAGAGCTGTAAGGGAAAGGGTTCTGGATTGTCATATATGTGAGAAACGAGAAAGTTCAGAAAGCAGTGCGTCCACTTGTGTTTGCATGTGCTGCGAGCTTGAGACCCAGCTGTGAAGTTGTGCAATCGGAAGATAAGACCGTTGACTCCTGTTGAACTTTTACCTCCCAAACGTTCTGTTTGCTTCCTCAGTGGTGGGATCTCTGCCATTTGCAGAATAATGGCTCCCTTCTTTCAAGGACCAAGGCACCGCATCACTGCTGGGGTCTATTCACTGCAGGCTGTGAAAATGCTTCCAGGAACTGTGTGGTTGACATCCCAGAAGCCATAGCCAAGAGCTTTTACCCACCTGGGTTCATGATTCTCAGAGACAATGCAATGAGTGTGTACACGTGTAGGCACTTACGTGGCCACGCACACACTTCTGCCCACAGTTTCTTCTTGGGTCTCAACTGAGAGTTTATGGAAGTGATTCAACAGACCTGACTTCCTGTCACCCAGATATTGCAAAATGGTATAACTTCTACCCTTGGGAAACAAGCTGGTGCCTTTGTAGTAGAGTAGACAAGGTGATTTCATCAAAAGAGAGCTGAAAAGCTCTGTTCAGAATGACTTGCAATAAGAAACCTAGAGCTGGTGTTCCAAGATCCAGCATGTGACCCACTGCCTATCAAACACACTGGAGGACATCATGGACACACAACACCAGACTTTCTTGTATAGCAGGATTCCCAGGGCATTTCAGTATAGCTGCAGATACAGACACACACACAAAACTGGCATTTTGTACTAAGCTATTCATCCGGGAGATTCTGAGGAGCTATTTAAGAGAAATACTTGTTCCTAGTTATTCCATTAATTGGTCTTGGGAGTTTTGATAAATTTTATAAAACTCTCAGATCTGGTCAGTCCAGAAATTGGATTTTATAAATGCTGTCTTGACTAATAACAAAAATAGGATAGAAAGAATAGGGCATAGAATGTGGGGCTTGGGCATACCCAATCCAATAGACCAAGTATGTCTGAGTCAGATTCAGACATACAGATGTAACCATTTTAAAATATACTTCAAGAAGAACCCACATTTTTTACAACACCAAAATACCATTCATGTTTTTGTGTTCACTTGTGTGAATATGGTCAAGGTAATGAGAAGGCTTATTTCAGTGATATGTCCAAGAAGGAAGAGTGGGGGGGGGGCTAGTGAAAGCATAAATAAAGGCATTTTCTTGAAATAATATCTAGGCTCTAGGCCCCACAGATAAGCAGAGTTATTTGGGCACAAATGATCTTTTCATTATACCTTTTATTCTAATGTCCTTGGCATCAAATAGAAATTGAGAGAAAGAGAAGAGGGGCTGACAGGAAGGTGGACAGAGTAAGGAAAGGATGTGTTTTGATCATCTACGAGTAATTCAGAAAAGGAAAAGACCTAAAAAATTACAAAAAGTAAGGCCAAAGATAACAAGATGAGTATATCCTTTTCCCCAATTTTATAGTTTATACATAAATAAGTAAATAAGTTGTAGTAACGACTTTTAAACGAACATTAAGAGAAAATAGGTCACGATGGAAACAAATTTTATGAAAGAAGTTTTTAAGTGAAGAACTCGAATAGTCTCAATTTGCTTATGTAGAATTAAAGATTTAACAGAAGAGTAATAGATACATACGAGATATCTACAGGCCTTGCCTTGCCTGCTACCATGGCTTCCTTTCTTTCCTGATCTTCCTAAAGTCTCTAGACTAGTGACGCACAGTCACACCCCCTCCTTCCTTTGCGAAGACTTGATCGTGTCCTGTGCTGTTTATTGAATACACAGTCACAGGAAAGAGCTAAAAGAAACTCAGTTAACCACAGAAACCCAGCAGAGACATTCTTCTCTCACATACTTGGTTTCTTTAGGGAAATTATAGAATAGATAGGAAAATTCCTATCTGCACTCATTCCCCTAGCGCTTTGGTAGCTGCTGAAGAGAGTCAACAATACTGTAACCACAGCAAAGCTGACCCTGTCACATTATCTTCCATTGCTATATTGCCAGGGCCATAGGCAGAAGTTCTCCCTATTAGTTACTTTTCTCATTGCCAGGTGACAAACCAGCTGACCAAAAGGAGCGTAAATAAGGAAATGCTCATTTGGGTCATCTGTTGAGGGTATAGCCCATCGTTAGGAGGAAGTCGTGATGGCAGGGATTTTAGGCAACTGGTCCCATTGCATCTGCTGTCAGGAAGTCGAGGTGATGGGTGCTGGTGCTCATCTTGCTTTCTCCTTTATATTTAGGGGAAAATATTTATTTACTCTCCTGAGCTTACGAAATAGAATCTCCCACCTAAATAATAGTATCACGTGGGCTAACCTATAATAGTATCACCTGGCTTAACCTAGTTCTGATGGTGCCTCCTGGACAAGCCTGGAGACTGTTTCCATGATGATTCAAAATCCCGTCAAGCTGATAATCAAAATTCATCTTCCTATTCATTCACTTCTAGTCTCCTGTCTTCACCCAAACATTGGTAAAAGAATTAGACCGAAACATTGGCACACTAGCGTAATGAAGTACTATAGTTCTATCTTCTCTTTATGATCACAGTTTGTGTGTGTGCACATGTCTGAATATAGTGCAGCTTTTCACAGTGTGTGTCTTACTGTGTGTGTCAGAATCTTTCTAGCTGCACAAGTAAAAGATACCGGTCAGGGAAGTGCTGTAGACACGGGCAGGCTCTCAGCCCTGCTGTTGCCATGTAGGTTCACACACAGATAGTCCACCCTCAAGGATGACCAAAGGATATTATTATCTCCAGTCCCCAGAGGAACACAGGGAACAGTTGCTGGAGTCTGTGTTGTGACGAGTTTATGCTTCCCCATGAAGAGAAGCCTGGTTACTCTGTCCCTGCGAAAGAGCTGCTTTAGTCCCGAGAAGTAGAGAAACGTGCAGTCCCTCATCGTTATTTAAAGAAACATGGGTAGTGTGGGATTTTTTTATGAAAAGGGGGGATTTTTATTGTTGGTATTTCATGACATTAGTTTCAGGAAGTGTTAACATATATTCTTTGAATAACTGATTTCATCTAGTGTATATAGCATCTTATTTTAGCAGTTGCAGATGTCCAATAATGTCTTACAAAATCTGGTAGCAATATCATAGTCATTGTTAAATTAGTAGAAAGGCTAAGGCACACCATTCTGTTGACAGAAGAAAGAGTGTGTGTCCTTCCATTGCAACGGAGACCAGCTGGGTGGTCAATGAAAGATCAGGACTTCTGAGTCTTTGATGCTATCCTCCCGAAAGCCAACTTCACATAAATTTCCTCACCCAGTTCTACAAGTATTACATGATTTTTATGTCATTCTAGTTATACAAATATATAGGCAAATATTTTGAGACAATACCTTCTGTAGTTCATTAGTTTCTATAATAAGAGAAAAACAAATTAAAATACTTTCTGATGAAACAAGTCAAGCAGAAAAAGAAGACACTTGCTTTATAGTCAAGAGGTTAAAACTGTAATGATGTCAAGTGAGTGCTGGATTTTGTAGAGTACTTTTTGCTTTTATTCTCCCTTTATACTATGGACAAACTCTGGCAATTGTATACACTGCACTTTGTTGCGTGCCTTTTAGGTAGGAACTGTGGAAAAGTGAGCAGAAACTAGACAGTGAAGCTGAGTATTCTGAAATTTGATTTAATAATTTTATCTAATTCCATGCCTCTTAAACCAATTTAAACTTATTCTTCAGCACAGTTTTGTTTTAAGATGTTGGCTCATTGCTTATACATAAAACAGGATGCCTTATACATACAGTAAATTCTAAAACATGTGAAATGAACTTTCCACACCTAACAGCTTTTCACCATGATGCCTTGCCTACCTTGGATATTTGGCATAATGTCCTTTCAGTCACTTTGACTTGGGCAATTTTGTTACGATTCATACACCTGAGTTTTCCTATCTGCAGTAATAACACCTGTGTATACTGAACACTTAGGATTGTAGAATTTGCCTCATTTCACTAACTCTCTCAGCCTGCAATTTGACACCTGGTCCCATTCTAAGCACTAGACATGCACACAGCTCCTGCTCTGGGGGTGTTCTAGATGTAGTGTGGGAGTTAACTTGCGAGTAGTAGGCCCAGGTCGGAGAGTGATAGGACACACAACTGTTGTGAAGGTCGAATGTGACATCACAAGTAAAAACAATTCGAGAGCAGTGAAATTCTATTGAAATGGAGCATTACTCTCTCAGGACTCTATTGCCAACCCCTATCCTGGGTTTTATGCATGGTTTATCATATAGCTGAGTTCCCAGACCAACCCACAGATATAAACAACTATATTTTGTTTTTGTTTTTCTTTAATAATTTGCAATGTGAGTTTGGTAGTGATTCTGAAAAAGAAATAATTTCCAGTTTTGGAAAAACATACACAAAACTAAACTTCCTTCTAATCTAAGTTGGAGTACTTGACACAAAGCTTGGAACATATATGTCATGATGATCTATAGTTTAGGCTTCAGATTTCAGAGCTAGTAGGTGAATCATGATGGCTCAAAAGAAAGCAATAAATTTAAGTAAGAACCCTGCAGTGGCTCAACAGGATGACAAACTTTCGCACAAACGCAATGGCACTTTCTACTTGTGAGTTACTGACTCTTTAAGGGAACTTGGGTGCAACTGTTGTGGTACCAGTAGCATAAGGTACTTTAACAACTTCTGAATAGACTTTCTCTTGCTGTTAAACCATAGAAGATATGACAAAGTGGTTCTTCTATGAGAATTTGTTAGAGATGAAAGGAGGAAAAAAGCAATTCTCATAGAAATATATAGTCACCGATAGTAGAGATAGAAGAAAAATCCACATGAGAACTGACGGAAAGTTTTTTTTTTTTTTTTTTTTTTTTTTGCATTATACGTGGTGGAATACATTCCTCTGTCAAATAAGCAATAGGCACCTTGGTGGATTTTGTTTATCCATGTTACTTAAAGTTCCTAGTCTTTAGAATACATTAATGCTCACTTTACTTGAAAATCATTCCTGGAAACATTTATTGTTTCAGTAGCAACTTTTTTTTAATGAAATCTTCTTATGTTAAGAAGAAAAACCCAATAGGAAAAGCAAATGTGCTTTCCCCCCTAGTTTTCCTGCCAGTACATTCCATTCCATTTTCACTCTTTTCACACTCGTTTATACCTTAGCATCATGGCACAGCAATCCTATAATATCAACACTACCTCTTAACACTGTTTTACTTGAGTCACTTCTCTGCTCTTCAATCTCTAAGGGCCAATTAACTTTTTTTTAAAAAAAAAATGAGGTTTTAAGATCACTCTGTATGGAGGTGGTGCTATATTTGAAACACCACCATTGAGTGAAGCAGTGGAGAAGGTTCAAGAAGTAGATAATGGTGCCTAAGGTCAAACAACCTAGAAAAAGAAGATCAAATATACAGCATTAGATACACCGAACTCTTACAGCAGATAAAATGTTCCAAATTCTGCCTTTTGAAGCTTTGACTGCTACTCCATCCCCACATGGTCAAACAAGACTATTGGCTATCTCTTGAACATTCTGCGTGGGTTTCTGAAATTTGGATTGTGCTTCTTTGAGGGAAGAGCAACGTCTTTCACTCTCGCGACATTTCATTATGTTCCATCACTCACTGAAGCCTGGATGTCCTTCATCCATTGTGGGAATGTGGCTTCCTTTGGCGAATGCTGCTGGCAATGTCTTTTCCATCCTGTAAAGTTTTGAATTCTTTGTTATGTGTCATGTATCAAAGCTCTGCAAATTGAAAGATTGTCCTTGTGCCCCACGATTCCTCAATGTCTTTGCCCTTCACTGCCTCCCACCTCCAATATTCCCCCTCATAAAAGTTCTAAGAAAAGGAAAAAACAACTCATCTCTGACAAAATATTGTGACTAAATACTGATAGCCGTCTTTTGTATTTATATTTTCTCTTGGTCTCATTTCTCTCTCACCTTTGAAATATGTCTTACTTGTTAATAATTCTCATCTACAAAATCAAAAGCATTGGGGTAAAGGAAGCACTCCTCCATTGTGGATGGGAGTGCAAGCTGGTACAGCCCCTTTGGATATCAGTATGGCCATTTCTCAGAAAATTAGTGAACAACCATCCTCAAGACCCAGCAATACCACTTTGGGTATATACCCAAAGAACGCTCAATTGTACCACAAGGTCATGTGCTCAACTATGTTCATAGGAGAATTGTCTGCTATAGCCAAAACCCTGGAAACAACCTAAATGCCCCTCAACCAAAGAATGGATAAGGAAAATGTAGTACATTTACACAATTGGAGTACTACAGAGCAGAAAAAAATAATGATACCTTGAAATTTGCAGGAAAATGGATGGATCTAGAAAACGTCATATTGAATGAGTTAACCTAGACCCAGAAAGACAAATATCTTATGTACCCATTCAAAAGTGGCTTTTAGACATAAAGCAAAGAAAAACCAGCTTACAATTCACAATTTCAGGGAACCTAGACAACAGAAAGGATCTTAAGAAAGACATACAAGGGATCTAATCTACATAAAGTAGAAAAAGACAAGATCTTTTGAATAAATTGGGAGCATGGGGAATTGTGGGAAAGGGCAGAATGGGACAGGGGATGGGAGGGAATCATATACGTTCATGTAAGATTCCATTGGAGAATTTTTTCCTGTTTAGGATGTCTAAATTTTAGATAGCTTCTTGTTTAGGGGTGAGAGACCATGTCCACTTTCCTCTGTCAGCACTGAGATTCCATCTGATTTGAACCTACACAGGCCCTGTGAGTCCTGCCTTCATCTCTGTGAGTCATAAGTATATCAGTCCTCTTATGTCTGGAAGACACTGCTTCCTTTGAGTCATCCACCCTCTGGGAACCTTCTCATGTTTCTGCCTCTTCTTCTGCACATAGCCCCTGAGCTCTGATTGAAGAAGTTGGATGAAGAAATTCCATTTAGAAAGGAGTGCTCCAAAATCTCTCACTCTCTGCACATCGTCCAGTTGTCTGTCTCTGTGTTAGTTCCCATCAGCCACAAAAAAAAAAAAAAAAAAAAAAAAAAAAAAAAAAAAAAAAAAAAAAAAAAGAGTGATGTTAGGAGAGCTGTGAGCTTTTTGTAGGATGGAAGCCAGTGAAGAAAGATGGGCTGTGAGCAGAAAGGTAAACAGGCAAACACGTATGGAAAAAAGATGGAATTGTTTCAGAAATTTCAAATATCTGAAAAAACGGCAAAGACCAGAGAGTTTGGGTGTGAATTCTAATTTGGTAGAATAAAGAATAGAGACCATAGATACTGAAATAATGTGGGGGTGTTAGTATGACTTGAGCTGCTGGAAACTTGATTGATAAGTTATATCATGCAAGGAAAAGAGGGGGTTCAGCTATGAAATAGAGATCAGCAAATCTAGTCACAGAGAAGTCAAGATAAATAGCAAAGAGTTTTCATTTAATATAAAACCAGATTGGTAAAGAGAATAAGGAAACACAGTATTACTCCCATCTCTTCAAGGAAGGTCTTTCTCAAAGTCCAGGCAGAAGTAAAAATGATATTCGTTCAAACATCTTTCATTGTCAGATCTTAGATTCCATAACATAAACTTTAATAGAATCTTCAAACTGAAATGCTGATGAGATTCTCATAGCCAAAAATTACATTGGTATCAGCATCACTGTGAGCATCTAAGTCTCTTCCAAGGATGTATGTGTTATGGGTTTCATAAGCAAACTCGCTTGCTTGTTTATGCAGGTCTCATAGTCCTACCCAGATCACACTGCGTATCTCTAAACTGCTGAGTACAGAAATAGGCAAAAATCTTAGAGCACTGCAGCCTTCCCATGGACACAGACACTCCTACACCAGGACTACACCACCCTGAGTACATAGGCTGGTGTTGACAACTATGTGATGAACAGGCCCCCTAGAGGGCAGCAGAGTCCCGTTCAATTAGAGACTTTCAAAGCAGGTGTGTGGGGTGGGGGGGGGGTGTTATGAGGCCCTTCCCTGTTGGAGACTCTTGAGAAAAGTATACACATTTATGGATAAAGAACCAGGGAAAGGCCAAGGAATTTAAGGAGCTCAGCAATATAAAGAGGAAAGGAAGCAATTTTAAATTGGTGGCCAGGCATTGAGAATAAATAGAGGGTGGGTAGCTAGGTGCTGTCAAAGGAAACCAAGCTACTCTGCTTGGTGAATGCTGCCACCCAGGCAATAAATACCACTTGCTGATTGGACATTATTTACCACATTTTCTTTTTCTTTCTTTGTTTTTTTTTTTTTTTTTTTTTTTTTTTTTTTTTTTTTTTTTTTTTTTTTTNAAAAAAAGTTTTGCTGGTGATGGCTGAGCAAGGCACTGATCAATGGATGTAACATAAGTCATTAGGAGTCATTTTATTGCTGTGTTCCTTTAACAGAACAATAGTACACAGTCTTCTATGGGGCCATTCTCTTTCAAACCACCGTACCCAAAATTCTAAGATAGCCCGACTGTTGATTACTCATGCAATTAAAATATGCACCATCGATTGAAATTGAAAAAATTAGTCATAGAGGACAGCCCAGAAAAGTGGTTTTATTGTTTTAAAACACGAATAAAAATTGAAAACTGCCATGTAATATTAACATGCATGGGTATTGGTTTTGAGTGCCTTCGTCAAGGCATCTAGACGTTATCTCTGGCAAAGGTTCGTGTCTGGTCAACTGATGCTATCAGAATTAATGACCAGCATGGTATGGAGGAACTTTCTTGCTTCTCTGAACAACCATATGACTAAGAAGTACTGAGACATGTGGTAAAAACAATATAAATCAAATTATTAACCTTACCTACTTAAAGCACAAACTATCTCCAAACCTTACCTAATGTATTTCTTCCATAAAATAAGGAAAGGAAACATTAATGTGTGTGTGTGTGTGAGAGAGAGAGAGAGAGAGAGAAAGAGAGAGAGAGAGAGAGAGAGAGAGAGAGAGAGAGAGAAAGAGACAGACAGAGACAGAGACAGAGAGATCTGTTTGTGTGCCTGTGTGTGTCTGTCGCTGTGTGTCTGTTTTTAGTTATCTGTCTGTGTGTGTGTGTTTGTGTGTGTGTGTGTGTGTGTGTGTGTGTGTGTGTGTGTATGTTTAGTTATCATGGGCATTGATAGGGAAAGTGTAAGTCATGATGTGGCATTTGTCTCATATGGACATTTATTATCTTCAACTATGTAGGGTAAGCAACCTAATCTCACTGAATTTACCATCTCTTAAAAGGCCTATAATGGCATTGATCCCCCTCACCCTAACAATCAGCTCTCCCCTGAACGTCCTTTATACAGCACTATGCACATAGAAGATGGTGTCATTTGAGTTTGGCATCTGTGTTTGGTAATTGAGTCCTTACAGTTAAGTGTTTTCTGTGAATATGTCTCTAATGCATACATCACCAGAGATATCAAATTGTTTCTATCACTTATCTTAGTTTTTACATACATTTATGCTATAATTGAGGAAACTTATATAGATCAGGCCTTCATTTTCATATTATATTATGAACTATATTATGATATTATAGTGTGTTTCTTAACGTAATTTTAAAACTCAGGATGTCAACGTTTAAGCAAAGCTCATTTTTTTTACCTACTTCAGAAAAGTCTGAATATAAAAATGTTGACCTCTTGTTTTTCTTATAAAACTTTAGCACTTTGTAGTTCAAGAAAAATAGAAAGTAAAGTATATTAACAAAAGTGTTTTTTTTTTCTCGAACAGCGTAAGCACTATTGCAGATTTTCTGCTTGTGTTAGACTTAATTTATTAATTCTCTCATTAGCCTACTATTTTCTAATATAATTCTACAGGCATCATTAGCTAGGGATATTTCAAGTTTCTTACATTTTTATAAATATTTTTATCTTAGGCAGTGCACAATTGCAGTACAATTCCCTTCTGGCTAACCTCAAAATCAAAACACACAAACAAGGAACTTCATTAGTGAAGACCATTTTAAAGAAATATCTTTTAGGGAATAAATTTGATTATTTTTATGTCCTGAAATACCATAAGTTAGTAAAGCTCTAATAAACCATTCCATGAAAAAAAAAGTTAAGGTTTATTTTAATTCAATGAAATGAAAATTACAATGCTTATATGCTTCCTTTTATCATACCACAACCCTAAATTAGCTCTGGGGAAGGACAAAAACCACATAGATTGTTCAGCTGCCTTCAGTAGAGGCAGAAACATTATATATTCTCCAGCCTCTTGTGTTGGTCAAACTCTGATGTTGCTGCCTGATGTTGACATGCTGGGGCAAGATGCTCCAATTTCCTCAGATAGAGCAGATGAATAGGGAGACAGGAGAGATCACCAACCTGGCACTCAGAGCCTGTTGCAATGAATGAATTATGTAAGTGTCCTACACAGAAGGGGCGAAGAACAACTGTTGAAAATCCAAGTAAAATGTACCATTTTGGCGGTCCTGTAATGTAAACAACAGGAATGAACCAATCAATGATAGCTCTATCTCAAATAACGTTACAATTTCTTTCTTTCCACAATGAAGAGAAAATTGCCATAAAAGGGAGATGTTAAATACTTCAATATATACTTTGAAAGGGATTAATGCTCTTCGAATGAACAAGAAGTGATGTTTTCCCCTCTCCCCAACTGGAGGGACTGTCTTAGCCTGCCCCTTCCTCTTTCACTTCTCTTTTGAAATTCAGTACATGTACTGGGGAAAGGTTAAAAACTAGAGACAAGTAAAGGAAAATCCCCTTGCCTTTTTTTTTTTTTACCTCTGTCCACTAGACCAAAGATATAATCCTGCAACTGAAACAACGCTTCTCATGAAGTAACCAATATATGTTCCTTCATGTAGATAATGAATAGCCCTCTGTAATTGCAGAGGTGAGACACTTGGTTGAATGCCAAGCGATCATCTGGGTTCCTCCTAGAGGTAATGTGAGCAGATGTTTATTCTTCTACTCTTTGCTGGTAAGGAAAGAGCTTAAGTGGTTGGTCTGTCAAGATAGGTCTGAGTCCTACCTCTTCTCCATTACCCACACTGTCTCCTGTCTCCATAAACTTTCACCACTGAGATAAATCACTAAAACCAGTGTGTGTGTGTGTGTGTGTGTGTGTGTGTGTATGTGCTCATGTAGTTCATACATATATGAGTTAAAAAATGATTGCGATTTTCATTATAGATATCAAGATATGTTTTTACGCTTAGTTAATAAAATGTCTTTGTACACACTACAAAATAAATGACCTAAAAACAAAAGTATTGAATTTTACTGATACTCAGTGTTTAAAATGTTGTTGAAACACATGAAAATATAAACATGTTTTAAATGAAGTGCATTGATCCGGCTAATTATTGCCTACAAGAATAACTTAAGCAATATTCATACTCTGTACAAGTCACTAGATGTTGTGAGTATGGCAGTGAACAAACGGTGCCTTTAAGGCATCCCACCCAGAAAGTGAGGAAGATATAAGACAGAGGCACTACATGCCTAAATGCTGGGGTCATGAGAATCCAACTGAGTAGGTGTTGGCTGGAGAGATGCTTTTTATAAGACAATTAAGCTGAAACAAATAAGGAAGGAAGAGGGAGGGAGGGAGGGAGGGAGGGAGGGAGGGAGGGNNGGGAGGGAGGGAGAGAGGGAGGTGGAGGGAAGGAGGGAAGGAGGGAAGGAAGGAAGGAAGGAAGGAAGGAAGGAAGGAAGGAAGGAAGGAAGAAGTTAATTGAATTGATTAATTGCGGTGGGTGCAGATCAGGGGAGGGAAACAAGATGTGGTTAAGCAAAAGTGGAAGAACAAGACAGCAGTGGAGAAGGCAATGAGAGCTGTCAGGAAGAAAGTGGAATGATGATGTGATCCCCCTAGAAAACAGTGTAGGATGATAAACTTCAGTGTGGCTTTGGCCACAGGAATTTGGAGCTCCAATCAGACAAAGCGGAAACAGCTAGGAAGACTATATAGAGTTACAAACTTATACTTTCCCTGGAATTCTCTTTTCTTTAAACCTACTAAATACAGATTTCTTTTCTGACACGGTGTGTTCACATGGAACAAGAGACACCAAGTCTTTACCACACCATTTAACCTGCATTGGCTCGTTTAAGACTCAAGATAACTTTTACCAAATGAACAAACTGCTTCTTGATGAGGTATAGGACTATTCTATAGCCCAAGCATCTCGGATGGCAGATCCAGAATTAAAACCCAGGTTTTAAGATCTCTTCTTCTCTATTGCACTTCCATGACTGGAAACACTGGACCTGTTAGCGGAAGAATCTTATTAAATAATTGCTTATTTAGATTCTTCTGTCATAGAACAGAGGAGTTAAGGCTGTTGTCTTCATGGTAACTACATTCAACAAAGAAACAGACTGATGTGAGTAGCTTTTCTTTCTTAACAAATTCCTTTTTACTAGGGAAGAACATTTTGTTCATGTTTCAGAGAGGAAAGAAGGTCTTATTAATAATTGGACTATACTGCTTGGATACCTTCTATATCATATTGCCTTAATTCTCTCTGTCCCCCCTTAGGATGATTTTCTTACACATTTACTCAAAGTTTTTCTAATATGCTAGCTCCCAGCATGACTATGTATGAAAGGAAAGACTGCCAATGTTAACATAGATGCTATAGTCTATCACAGTAAACTGAAGGCCAGAGACAAGGAGAGGGAGGAGGAGAGTGGGAGAGAGTGTGTGCATGTGTGTGTATGTGGTGTGTGTGTGTGTGTGTGAGAGAGAGAGAGAGAGAGAGAGAGAGAGAGAGAGAGAGAGAGAGACTTTTAAAAGCAGATGTTCGTATGACCTTCCTACTAGAAGCAAAAGAATCCCTAGGGTAACACTTAGAAGAACTGGTCCAGTCACTTTTCTGGTTTCCAACCCATGTTTTTTTTTTTTTTTTATTAAAAGGGGTGCAGTGACCTGAAAGTCTAATTACCACTCTCCAAATGTCTGTTTCTTAGGCTGCTGGTAGCAGAAAGCAGGACTAGTTGACAGCCATCCTCCGAATCAAATCCCATAAATAACCCGGGCAATTACTCTGTGCTGTGCTGGAGAAGTTGGTGGGCACTTGGGAGGAAAAGAGCAATGCACTATGAACCCCAAGTCGGGTGAATGCGAAGTGGAGCTCTAAGTACCGAAGCTATTAGAAGGAAAGCCGAGCGTATGTCATCACTCCTGCTCCTACAGATGTACAGCTATCTTCAAACTCAGGAATGACTCACCCAGTCTTACCAAAAGAGCGGCGGGGTGGGGGACACCACATGCTGAGCTCTAGAGAATACTAGGTTGCAATACATTGGAATAATCAGACAGAATGTGAGTTCACAGGAAGGAGCAGAGAAGGGGAAACTGCAAAGGGCAAAGGGGTGATGACACAGTATTACGCAGAATAAGAAAGAACCAAGAAGAACATTGCTGAGGAAGCTGTGCAAAAGCTGGTCTGGCGTCAGAGAAATGTCTTAGCTCAGTTTGTCTGGCAGGAGTAAGCAGGGAACCTCAAAGTGTCTGTGCCTGACAAAAATCACCCTTGCCTTCCATCAAGGAGGCCTAAGAATTAAGAGGAACCCAGAAGACGAGAACCGGTTTCCATCAGGGTGTCTCAGCTTACAAAACACCTATTGCAGAGTCACTTTAGTGGGAAAGGCCTGGGACAATATTCTAATATGAATTGAGGCTTAGGCCCAATGCAGATATCAGAATTTCCTGAGGGCACACTTGGTATTTGAGATATATTCCATTGATGAGTCTTATAAACAATTAAGTTTGTTACTCCAACTAAGTTTAGTGATAACCACTGCTTGAGAGAGAAATTTGCATTCCTGAACACATACTGGACAAAGGTGACAGACATCCTCCCATGTTCAAATTAACTTCATGGGGATTCACAAAAGGCCCCCCCCCCCCGCCCCATGAGTTATCCTTGCAAGGCATGCAAATTCTGCTGGCCACCAACTTGTTTCTGATGGATGCCCTGCAGTCTGGTGGCTACCTGCCCTTTAGACAGAAAGAAGGGTTATGGATTCTGAAGTCCAGGCATCATCACCACCATCTTTGTCAGAGTAGCTCAGAGCACCGGGCCAGCCCGGGAGAGGAAAGACTGCAGAAGGCCTTCAGAACCTCCCGGCAGCAAGGGGATGCTCACCAAGACGCAACTGTAGATCGCAGTGCTAGGTGCTCAAGGCAAAACACCACGCTTTCCTCTGACGAAATGATTATTCAACTTGCAGGCCTAAAACAAACTTATAAGAAGGACTCCTGTGGTGTAGAAACATTTAATTAATTAGAAAATTGCATGTGTGTTCATTAAACTTGTATTTTCCAGCAGATAAGCCAGACTAAATAAAACCATGTTCAAAATCAAGCGTTCACGCAAGCAATTCCTAGGGATCTATGCCCACCTGCAAAATAAATGCTGAGCTGGAGCCACTGTCTGCTTCTTGGTAATCCCGACTCTCACCTTTCCCTCCCTCTCCTAACTGCTGGTGAGTTGAGGTCTTGTTTTAATTAATGCCTCCATCCGAAGGCTGCTAACCCTAAGAAGCCTGCGGCTCTGTGCCAGCCTTCTCTACAGATAACATCATGGTGCCAACCTCCACATCTGTATTTGCAGCATAAAGCATTGCTGCACTCATGGTGAGGTATGAATGCCTGCGGAATACTGATAAATGAATGGTCCTTTATCCTAATACCTACGCTGGCATAATACAAATGAAGGACAGATAAAGCATCCTTTAACGCAAACACATCTCTTCCCATACTGTTCTGTTGGGTCGTCTCTTCAAAGATTACAGTGTCCTTCCTGCTCAGGTCCCCATCACCTCCCACCATTGGGGAAGCCATGTGGAAGCCTGCTAGGGTGCATGCTGATTCACTCACTTCTCCACTCTCTTCTCTCCGCAGCTCCAATGGAAAATCGGTGACATGGGCCCAGAACGAAAAGAGCAGCCGGGGGCAACACCTGTGGCAGCGGCTCTCGGTTCACATCAACAAGAAGGAGAATCCCAACCAGACAGCGGTCATCAAACCCTTCCCCAAGAGCACCGAGAGCCGCGGGCCTGGTGCAGGGGCTGGTAGCCCTGGCCCTGGAGCGGCAGGCGCTGGTGGCAGCGCTGGGTGCGCAGTGGCAAGTGGCCCCGAGCCTCCTGATGCGGGCCCCAAAGCACTGTACGATGTAGTAGAGACAGAGGAACGCTTCCCAGCAGCTGCCAGGCCGCGCTCTCCGTCGCCCATCAGCACTCTGAGCCACCTCGCTGGCTCGGCAGGCCGCACAGATGACGACGCGCCCTCGCTGCATTCAGAAACTGCAGCGCGCAGCAGCTCCTCCCAGGGCTCGCTCATGGAGCAGATCAGCAGCGTGGTGACTCGTTTCACCGCCAACATCACGGAGCTCAACTCCATGATGCTGTCCACTACGGCGGCGCCCGGGCCAGCTGGTGCCCCTATCTGCTCATCATACCTGATCCCCACAGAGATCCAACTGCCTACAACCATGACGACTTTCGCAGATATCCAGCCACTGCCGGCCATCGAGGTGACTGGAGGAGCTCAGCAGACCTCAGGGGCATCACCGGCCCAGGAGACTCCTGCAGGAGCTGAGGCCGCACCAGGCAAACCAGACCTGGAGGAGCTGGTAGCCCTGACTCCGCCGTCGCCCTTCAGGGACTCGGTGGACTCGGGGAGCACCACCCCAAACTCGCCAGTCTCCGAATCAGCCCTCTGTATTCCATCATCTCCCAAATATGACACTCTCATCATCAGAGATTACACACAGAGTTCCTCGTCGTTGTGAACCACTGAAAACTTCCCCCGGGATCGGCATGAGCAGCAGAAGACCTTGGTGTCACACATGGGCGCAGCGACACCCAGAGCCACCCCAACAGAGTACCTGAGGTGGACGATGCCAAGGGCACACACAGTGGAGACACGAGATCAATAGTGCTATTTCACAACAACCGATGACGACACCAACCACACATCTTCTGGCATATTATCTTCTAGTGGCCTTAGAAAAAAACATGGGCTTTTAAGAAACACTGCTTCTATTTGTAGAGTGCTGACCAGGATGGGTTGAAGCAGTTTAACAATACCAAGTGCTTTGGGTGGAGGCATCAACGGTGTGAGTAGCACCCTGGACCGTGAAAAGTGGAGTTAATAAGCAACTGTAAACAGTTTTTGTTTGTTTACTTCATTTTCCCAGAAGAGTCTTTGATTTACCAAACACTGAATGTACATTTTCTAACAAACTCAAACATCTGGGACCAAAAAGTTAATCTTCCTGTCTTTTCCTTCCTTTCCCGGTCCTGCCGTGTAGACCTTGAAAAGCGAACTAGTGATTAGAGCCCGGTATTTCCTGAGGCTTGTGATTCTCCTGAATAACACAAACGGGTAGTGAGTGTTTGCTGATGGACAGAGAGTTTCTAACAGAGACTTTCCGATCAGGCTGTGAGATACTCTTCCAAAAGCCTGCATCCCGGATTCCACCTAGTTATTTCAGACTCACCTCCATTAACCAAGAAAAGCAGTGCAAGATTCCTGGACTAGTTCACCATGTTGCCAATCAATACTGGAGTAGCAAAAAAAAAAAAAATATTTTCTGGAACACTGTTTTGTAATTCCCTCACTGGGGTGCATTGTGTAGCTGGAAATTCTCTTTGTAATACTCGTGAGCTGTAACCTGGCTCTCTTTCACGATACACAGGCACTCCTATTTGTGAATGCCCTTCCGGTAGTGTTCCAGCTGAAACAGTAAGATCCACAATGAGCTTCCTCATTCCCTTCTTGTAAGAACCTGCTATACAAGGAGATCCTCTGTTAGTGGTGACTGTTTTGTCCCCAGTCCCACTTCTGAAAGAGTGGTCCACAGACGGTATGAGGATGTCACACGCGGAGGGACTGTTACGGAAAAAAACATAGTAGTACAGAATCTCAGTACAGGAAAGTCAGCATAGCAAACGATTTGTTGTGCCCTGATGAGCAGTGATTTTACCTTCTCTTGGCTGCTTATATGGGGCAGCTATGAACTATGACAAATGTAGATTTTTTTCAAAGCAATACAGAATACTCAAACAGAGGAACCTTAATATCAACCACAGTCTTTCTCAGCCATTCCAAAAAAAAAAAAAAAAAAGGCAAAGCAATTGCGAATCCTTTACTTTTTAAAATAGTTAATAATATGGTTTTGTGCACTTCATACTGTCACTTTTTAAATACTGCAGGAAAGAGTTTTAGGGTTACAATAAAAACATACATGCTTTGGTGGGCTCACATAGGTAGAAACTGTACAACAAGACCTGACTCTACTAGCATCTTTTTATTGGTCCCATTGCAGCTATCCTCAGGTACCAAATAGTCTTGATTTTTAAATAAAGATAGTAATAAGAGGAGGTATTCTATAAATTTAATGTTCAGTTGACCCAGCCTTATACTAAAGATAGCCTTATGAGAAAGATTTGCCAAGAGACAGAAGTATATTTTTAGCAGAGAGAAATTTAAATAGAACTTTAAAATTCTTATTTCAATATCCTTGATATCCTGCTCTCTCTCTCTCTCCTTTTTGTTTTTCTCTTTTTTTGGTTGTTTTTGTTTTTTTTTCTTGTTATTGTTGTTGTTGTGTCTTATTTTTGTTTGTTTATTTACCATCTGATTTTAAAGAGATTGAAACTGGAAGTCTACCCATTGGCATAATCTTTCATTCTCCAGTTTTAAGATTTTTAATAACTACTGACATTGCTTTTCTGATACCTGTTCTTATTTGAAATTTTAAATGGAATCTTCCATGTTGAAGCATTAAAAGCTAACAATAATTCATAAATTAATCAAGCTTTGTAAGTCAGATTTGAAAATAACATTGTCAGAGCAATGCAATCCCAAATAGTAATGGGATTCTTGGAAGAGAAAAGAAGTCTGGCTAACTTGCATAGCTTCATCAAAAGGAAATGCCTGCCTCTCCCTGAAAATCCGTTGTAAATACTTTGAAATGTCAGTGCCCCTTGGTATCCATCAAAAACAGTGCATTCACCTGGGGTTAGAGTCTGCTTTCCTAGGTGTTAATATCTTTCTAGATAAGCGCTACTTTCTTGTTTCACTGACTCTTTACCTTGGTTTCTGTTTTACTGTTATGTGCAGTAAGTTTTACTTCTTTGACTTTTTTTGTGACGGAGTTCTTTTTTTTTTCTATGATTTCCATGACATGTCTTTTCTTCTAAAATTTACTACTTTATCAGAAATTGCATTAGAAATTCAAGTTTATTGAAATTTCCATATATAATTCCTTGTGATGTCATAGTCAGCTATAATAAAAATAATTTATTTAAGTAGAGGGAGATAAAATTATTTTTCTATAAGTTACCCAAACATTGTCATCTAATTGAATAGATTGTATATTGCACATACCAATAATACATCTTTGAAATCTTTGATTTTGGAATGATGCTAACTCTCTTTGCCAATTCTAACACCAGGTTCCAAGTAATAACTATAATATATAGAAAACTGAATATTTATTCTAGGGCTAGGATATGAACTTCCCAATTCATTTGAGGACCTATTCTTACTGAGTTTTCTTGATAACAATCTAGTCCAGGTACCTAGTGATAAACCAGTTGGGACTTAGGTGACAGAAAGAAAAGATGAGAATGATAAAGACCAGAACAGTAGCCTGAAAGGAGGTTTTGGTCCTGAGAACTGAGAGGAGACCTGGTTTGACTAAATTTATTGGCCAAAAGTTCCACTTACTTTCCTTTTGAGAAGAGTGGAGTGAGCCTGAGAAGATTGTGTTTGGATGGGGCTAGACATAGGGAACTGGAAAGGAATCTGGAGAGGAAACTCATAAGAAAATTGACAGATGCAAAGGAGAAAAACAAATCTCCAAACGTGCTAATCTTTGAACGTAATATTCTTTTTCCAGCGACTGATAAACCAGCAAGTGATCAGAAGGACTCGGAGCTATTTATGACTATAAATGCATTGTATAACGGCTTTGCTGCAGTCTGACTTCCAAACCAGGAATTAAACACTCTTTTTAAGAAAAAAAAAGAAAAGAAAAGAAAAAAAAATGTCCTGTGCTAGTCTCCCAGCAAAATGTACATGGTTTGGAGACTTCAAAGTTATTATATGAGTTCTCATTTAGCAACAGCTTATTAATAACCCTCAAGCTGTCTCAATCTCTATAGTTACCATTTACAATTTTATACTGTGAAAAAAAAAACTACAGATCAGTGAAAGCATAAAGATGATTCAGAATTTGCCTTGAAGAGGATCTGAGGCCTGGGAGAATCTCAGATGTCTGTTGTTGAATGGGGCATGTATAAAACAGTTGGCTGGATTTCACTGATCTTCCAGATGTGAACAAATATACTATGTATATTGTGTGTCTTTCTAGAACTCAATGGCAGCTGCTGGTGATGTTGTAATTAGAAATCTATATAGAATATAGATGTTTAGAGAGATGGTGCCAATACTAAATTATTTGTGTGGGCTACAAGTGCTTGTACTTCATTTTTTTTCTGCACTCAGAACTGATTTGGTTTTACAACTGTGTGCACAATCTGTTCTTTTTCTGTTGTTGCAGCTTGTACTATTAAAATAATAGAGAATGTTAAATTATTTTGATGTGAATTGCAAATGATTTTTTCATAAATTTTAACATTTTTATCAGCATTGTTTCGCTTTGTACTTGTATAAATGTGATTTATTTTAGCATTTTAAAATATACTTGCCTGCTTCTCAGTTGTCTATATCACGTTATAGTTGGTGTTTGTGAAGCCAGTTACTTTTTGAAAAATATTAAAAGATAAATTATGATATGCCTTCAAAATTATTCCCCTCAAATGCTTAGACTATTGTCCTAGTGGTATTTCCCGAGAATGACAAGAGTCATTTTACAATTTAGCCTTAAGTTCTAAATCATAATATACATTTTAATTATGATCATTGGGTAATAAACTAAAGCAAGTCAACCTCAAATCAAACAGATATGTTGTCCCTAAAGACCTCTAAATATACCTTCTTAGATAAAAATATTTACATTAGAAAAATAACATGAGGACTAAAATTTTACTCTTTAATCTATGCATACAAATTATAGGAGTATTTTCTAAGTTATTTGTCTGGATACTGTTAAAGTTACACACATAAAATTGACAAGGTACATGCATGTACATGTGTATATAGAAATTCGAACACACATTTACATGTTTACTTGTGCCTCTATCCATAAAAGCTTTTGTAAGCAATTCTGATGTGTGTGTATGTTTATGTATAAAAAACTTTCCAAGATAAAAAAGTTTTCATATCACCCTTTACTTTTGACTCCTAAACCCTTAATTTTTTGAATACCAGTTAGAAAAAACATAAAAAGCAGAATATATGCTTGAATTGATTTACAAAAGATAGTGTATATTTTAAAATATGTCCTCTAGTGTTTACACACCTTGTGATGTTTGTGTTCCAGCATAATCTATACAAACATATGAATGCATTAAATTATATTATTGTAAAAATTATATCTAATCTTAAACAAGGTAGCCATTTTCCTACAATACCACACTCAACCCTTCATTATGTTCTCTTTTTCAGCAAGCCATTCACACAAAATTCACCTAAAAGTGAGATACTTGGACAAATAGTAGAAAAAATTTATCTTCTAAAATTTAAGATAGACTTGTTTCAGGAGAAATGTAGAAAGTCACTCATACCCAGGTGAAGAAAAAGAGAATAACAGTAAATACAAAGCCAGATTTATCACCCTAACAACGTCATATCTTAGATAGGTTAGCCTAATTTCTCTCCAATTCAGTTCCTTTTACAAAAAAAA